ATAGTTATCTTTAAGGCAGAAAAATAACAAGTAATTGATCTTTACAAATAGTCAAAAATATGCAGAAAATAATGGCCGAATACTTTCATGATTCTTATTCTTTTCTTTCCCTTCTATAATGTGCCTTATACTCATCTCATTTTTAATTGCCAGAAGGTGAACGGGCCAATAGATGAAGCAATGTTCACTCTAATTTTTTTGGTCTCCTCTTTCTATGTGAAAATCCAACTAACTCTCTTCTCCTGGCACTAGGCACAGATTGGCAGGATGCTGGAATTATGGTTTCCATTAATACTTCCAGTAATCATCACCCATGGTTGAATGGACTTAACTAAAATGTTTCTCCATCTCTTCAAACCATTTTGAACATCATGTTCTTATAACATTACAGCTGAGTGACCTCCTTTGAGGTCGGCAGATATGTCTTGGGTCACATCCAGATTTCTAGTGGTGATTAGTCAGTCCATTGCCCAGCCAGTGTCCCGGGAGTAAAAAAAAAAAAAAAAAATAGGAGTTTCCAAAATTAACAAAGACTTTGAGACCCAGAGAGTCCGAGACAAGATAAAGAGGGCAGGGTTTGCTCGCTCATTTCCAATTCCTAAAAGTAGCTACCTTTCAACTCTAGTCAGTGCTTTTGAAAATATTATTCACTCATCTCACACACACCCTCAACTCTCCCACTTTAACTTTCTCTTGAATTTCTAGTGACAGAGTTAGGTTCTTTAAGGCGTGTCTTATTTTTAAATTCTTTATTGTCATTCCTGACATCAACACCTAACCCAGTCACCAGTACTGCCAGTGTCTGACCTCTTTTCCCATCAAGACTTTTTCTGGGTACAGGTGGGTGACAAAATGTTGTTTGGTTTTGCTTCCTGTTCTGTGTTGGCTGGAATCCCAGAAGTTGGATAAAACCGGGTTAATGGCCTAGGTTTCTTTACTATACCTTTTGCAGTTTCACAATTCTTCAGGGGTGGGAGGATTCTCTTAGCTTATTTCCCAAAAAGTAGAAAAGAAGTAGAAAAAAGTTTTCTGGGACAAGAAATTAAATTTCAAGTCTACCAGCAAAGAGTTCCAGCAACTTCAGAAATCTGTCTCTTCCCAACCCTGTGCTCTCCTTTCTCGTGAAGTGGTTTCTTTCTCGGGTTGGCTCTCTCCTCACAGTTACCAGGTTTATATTCTAGCAGCTCAACCACCCTTCCTAGAGAGTGTACTTCTTAGCAGTTCCATTTTTAATTTTTTGAGGAAACTCCATCCTGTTTTCCATAGTGGCTGCACCAGTCTGCATTCCCACCAGCAGTGTACTAGAGTCCCCTTTTCTCCACACCCTCGCCAGCACTTGTTGTTTGTTGATTTATTGACGGTAGTCATGCTGGTAGGTGTGAGGTGATATCTCATTATAGTTTTAATTTGCATCTCTCTGTCGTTTGACACAGCAATCCCACTGCTGGGAATATATCCTAAGAATCCCAAAACACCAATAAGCAAGAATATATGCACCCCTATGTTCATAGTAGCATTATTTACAATAGCTAAGATCTGGAAACAACCCAAGTGTCCATCAGTCAATAAGTAGATAAAAAAAAAAGCTATGGTACATTTACACAATGGAATATTATGCAGCTATAAAAAAAAAAGAAGGTTCTCTTGCCCTTTGAGACAGCATGAATGAACCTAGAGAGTATTATCTAAGCAAAATAAGCCAGACAGGGAAAGACAAAAATTACATGATCTCACTTATATGGGGAATCCAATGAACAAAATAAACTGATGAACACAATAGGACCATAGACATGGAATTGTGGAACAGACTGACAGATCTCAGAAGGTAGGTGGGAAGGAGGGCAGGAAGAGAGTCATCAAAGAATTTATATGTATATATGCATAACTCATGGACATGGACCACAGACAGGTGAAGGCCTGGGTTAGGGCCAGAGATGGGGGGCAAGGTGGGGAAGATGGGAGACACCTGTAATACTCTCAACAATAAATAAACTTTTTTTTAAAGTGTGTGTTTCTTTCTGCATTGTCCCAGGAAAGATTCCTACTGGCCCAGCTTAGGTCTCATGTCACTGAAGCAATCACTGTGAACAAGGCTGTTGACTGGTCGGGCCTAAGTCATGGGTCTGTTCCTGAAACCCCAGCAGTGCGGTCACTTCCACCTGGACCACAAGCACTGAGATTGTGCAAGGGTGTTTCTCAAGGTAAAACGAAGATATGATTAACAGGAAGGGAAGTGAATTCTACAACGCTAGGACAAGAGGAGGGCAGGTAAGCCCCAAGGGGCAATATTTAACGAGACACTCATTTTCTGGTTCATGTAGATTCAATTTTGAGAGTGTACCCTAGACTCTTCACTCACTCCTAGTCCTGACCCTGGATGTTGGGCAAGCATAAGACAAAATATTCATTACACCTATTTTCTTTTCTTTTCTTTTCTTTTTTTTCAAAATCATTCTTTTTATTTATATTTTTATTTTATTTTTTTGTTACAGATATTTTACCCTTTTTACCCCATTGGCACCCCCCTCCCCACCCCACCCCCGCCCTGTCCCCGGCTTAGTTGTCCATGTCCATTGGTCATGCATACATGCATATAAGTTCTGTGGTTTATCTCTTCCCACCCCCCATCCCCTCTTCTGAGGGATGTCAGTCTGTGCCCTACTTCCATGTTTCTGGGTCTACTGTATTCCTCAGACTGTTATGTTCATTATATTCCGTATATAAGTGAGATCATGATTACACCTATTTTCAAACATATCTCCCAGAGTTCCTAAAATCAGTACCACTAAAGATTCATTTCTTTGGATTAGACAAACACATCTCCAGGAGTCCTTCAATTTTTTTTAATTTTTCCATGAATAGCTAGAGGGCAAATCTGTAAATAGTAAGAGTTTCTCATGTACATGTTAACTAGACTACCAAGTCAGTTACCACCACCAGGCCCAGCACCTGTGTGAAAGCCCCGCCCCATAATAATGTGTGATGCGCTGTAAGAAGAGGCCTTGGAGACGAGGGAGGAGTAGCCAAGACCTGAGACTGTACACAAGAAGGTCTCTGAAGGAGAAAAATGGCATAGAAAAGGAGACACATGGTATTAAAGGCACACTTTCATTCAGTCATTTAATAACATTTGATGTACACTGGCTCTAAACCTACTTTATCAATTTTCCTAAGATCTGCCACATGGAGAAGTTGAGGTAGCAGGCTGGCAAGTGAAGATGTAGCAGGAAAGACTCAGGGCACAGAGAATGCGGAAGTCTCTACACAGGAATACTTTGTTGGTGTGCAACATCTGGAAGGCTTTTCCAGAGTTCTGATAAGGCTTCAGGGAGAAGCAGAAATCCAGCCAAGGCAAGTCCTTGCATATTTGGGTTGCTGGCATTTTTGAAAGCTTAATTTTCCCCTACAGCAAGGGTTTAAGAGAAAGATTAGGCGAATTATTGTGTGTCCTGCGTACAACCAGGGGGTGGAAATCAATCTTTAAGTCACACAGTAAGTCAAATAGCTCTTAAGTTTGATATTAATAAAGAAAATTTTTTCAACCCTTCATATTCCAGTAACTTAATTTTCCCTTTCTGGAACTGTAGTTGCCGTTGGCAAAGAAAAGAGCTTACATAACTGAAATATACCTGCCTCTTATAATAATCAGGTTTTAAATTATTTGCCTACCTAATAAGGAGCAATGATTCTATTATTAGTTGGAGGCTACATCTGGAAATATGAGTATTCATTAAGTCCACTTACAATGGATACAAACAGAACCCAGAAACCAGAGTGGCCTTGGTCCATAGACTCCAGCAGTCCTCTTCTGGTGGCACGTATATCACCATGACGTGATGTCAGCAACCCTGGAACCTTCTAACTCACCCCCTGTTTAGGGAGCAGCCTCCTGCACAAAATGGCTTCCACGGAGGTGCCTGCCAGGAAAGAATATGATGACTGGACTGTCTGGGGCTGTATTTTCATAGTTTGCCAGCTAACAAATCACCATTCTGGTTTTAAGTATCAGGTTCAATGTGCTGAGAATCAAGTTTCTGTGCCCACAAGTCTTAGAGCCAGCTGCTAGACCAGCGGTAGTCACAAAACTGTGCTGACCCACCAGCCGCAAGGCCTCTTGGGGACACACCTTATTTCCTAGTTACAAGTGCTCATCTCACCTTGTCAGTCTTCACAATGGGAAAATTAATGCTATAAAATCAATGAATACCTTTTATACTTCTTCCTTGCCCGAAGAATACTATCAGATGATTTTTTTTTGCAATCTCTACTATGCCAATTGGCAGCAGACTTGTCAATGAATGCAATATTGAGCATTTTCTAGGCGTGGAGAACGCCAGGCTGAAAAGAACAGGGTGTCCACCCTCAGCTTTCAGTCCAGGAGAGGAAAAACATACACAAGGACTCTTTTAAGAAGCAAATTGCCCAACTGTATTAGAAGCATAAATTACACTATATGGAAAAAGGAAAGATTAATTGCAATAGTGGCTCGGAGAAGACTTCTTGCAAGACAGGGACTCTGAGCCCACTCCACAAGATAGGCTGCAATCCAGGCAAAGAAAAAGTTGACTTGACTCAAACGTGCTGGGAACTGGTCTCTCATGAAGCTCAATATCTGGACCTTGACAAGTGTGCCATGGAACATAAGCCCAGATGGCAAGAAGAGAAATACCTAAAAGCCTGGACCAGGTGGAGTGTTCTCAGCTACTCAAAGAAGCCCTTCATAAAGGGGTGCTCCTCCGCCTCCCCAAGCCTCAATCTGCCTGGGATGCACATATCCCCAGGGCTCCGGGGAAAACCCTTAGAAACCTCCCTGGCAGGAGATCAGCAGCAACATCTGTAGCAAAAGCGGCCACGGCTGAACGGGAAGTTCAGGACCTTCCAGCAGCCCGGGATTCCCAACCTGACTCTTCCAGGAAGTGCTTTCTTCACCGGTTCTCTTGCGAAATCTAGCGGGCCCTCCCTCCCTCCTCGGCCTTCTTATAGCAGCGAGAGCCGAGCAGCCCGGAGCTGAGCGCTGGGAAGCTTCGCGGAACATCCCCCTCCCAGCCCGCCAGCTGCGCAGCGGCCCCAGCCCTCGGCAGCTTGGAAGCATCGGTCCTGCAGGTGGGTCACGTTGCTGGCTCCGCTGGCTTTCTGCCCTATACCTTTCACCACAGGGCCCGCCTCACTTAACCTGCTTCAGCAAGCCCTGGGCCCCTCTTTTCAGCGCCCCATTCCCCAAGCTGGCAGGCACACTCCCCAGCGCCGCCCTCCCCCAAACCCTCTCCCAGAAGGGCCAGCCAGGGGTGCCCTACAGTCTGTTAAGCAATTAAGCAAGCTTATAGCTTCCTGGCTTTTTATAGCTTATCTCTACACCCAAGTGCAGAGAAGTCCGATATGAATTCCTCTCTGTATCTTACTTCTAGATAAGAGCGATCTGTGGTACCCTCAGAAGGCAGCCTGGAAGACTGTGGTTTTGGCAACTGGGCAGGCTCAGGTCTGAGGTCACTTCTCTACCAAGAGCTGAAATTTGTCCTGAGATGTTGTAACCACTTCCACACTTGATCTTGATTTAAATTTCCTTCTATGGTTGGGCAATTGCTTTTTCCAGAGCAATATTATTTGAAATGTAATTTATTGTGAAGAATAAATAAAACTTTGGTTCCGCTTGTCCAGAGGCAGCAAGAAAGTAGTTTTTTTATCTGGATGGTAGTTCGGGAACTTTCTTTGAAAGATGACAGGTCTAATGGAAAGTGCACTGGATGGAGAATTGAGAAGGGGGTTGGAGAATTCTATTCCTAGTTCTCACTAGAAGCTCAACACCTCAGCCTCAGTTTCCACATGTGTAAAATACAAGACTATTGGGCCACAAAGTCCAACTCTAACAAGGTGAAAATGCATGACTAAAGATGCTTGCAGGTCTTGAATATTTTGACAACCTTATTAATGCTCTAGGTATGACCAAGTAATGACTCTCCTCATAATAATGCAGGTTGCATTTTTATAGGGAAACTACCCCATTGTGGAGAGAGTCTCTTCCCATATGAGTATCTTAGACTTTTACCATATTTATCATTCAGAGAATACCCTCAGCTTTCAAAACTGTTCTTTAGCCTTGCTATGTGAGAATGTCCTAGTCCCTATAAACAGCAGTCTCACATGAAAGAACATTTTTTTCCTGATATAGTAGGTGTAATTTTATAAAATGGCACAGTTATTTGAAGTATCTTATTTGAGACATGGCCTTTTGCAAAGCCCCGAGTTCTTCAGAATGCTGTGATTTAGCATGGTATGGAATTCTACCTGCACGTACTCTACCTGCATGACAAACACTGCCAACCCATAAAACAGAACGAAGCGCTGCCTATTTGTCAGGCTTTGAGGTTTTAAAGTAAATAGCACATGTGTATAGAGAAACTGGGTAACAGCACTTTCTTCATTTGGCAACGTTTATGGTTCTGCTGAATGAAATCACACAGCAACTTGAGGTTCGGAGCTCAGTGTGTACAAGGCCTGACCTCTAACTTGAAAATAATTTCCAGGCTTCTTCCTTGCTTGAGCTTGCTGTTGTTAAAGTAACCAGATAAATTCTATAAGCCTGTTAATCAGTGGGAAACCCTGGGCCTTGAGCCTGCCTGTGTACAGTTTTAAGAAAAAGAGATTCTTTTGTCATATAGAATTTCAAAATTGAAGAAACTCTGAGCAGTCGCTACATTTCCCTGTCTCCTGAAGAACCACCCCTGTATCCCTCTCCCATGATTAACGCCATTATTAAAAGGACGTAGATTCTCCTTTTTAAGTCTCCCCAGTAGCTAATACCGCATCAACCTCAGACACACACAGTTCAGTATTTCATGACCCTTACCAGGGAGTTCTCTTTATAAGTCATTTGAATCATTTGTCAGTGCCATTTAAAAATCATTTCCTTTTAAAATCTCAAGAAGACTAATAAGTTAGTAAGAAAAAAAAGTGCAATCACCCTTCAAACTTGAACACTTGCTGGGGCACCTTGTAGCCAGTCTCCTCTGGATGGTCCTCGGAGGAGGAGGTTGTTTGTCAAGTGCCAGCATCTGCCACCCACATCTATCTTTAATTTCTGCTGTAAAAATCTACAATAATGAGGGTTTCTGGGTGGGATTTTTTCTGAAAAGTTTGAAGAAAAATGTGTTTGTTTTCAATGTCGATTACATACTCAATCCTAATGTCAGGATAGAACCAAGTTCATGATTTTGAAAAGTTAGGAACTATCATTCTGATTGAACAGAACTATATAGCACACCTCTTTGAGGGCTATTAGAACACGAATGAGATAGTTTCCTTTGCCTCAGCTCCAAACACTGAAGGTGCTCCAACCAGGTCCTCAGTGGTGATGGCACCAACCCTGAGGAGCATGGGAATAGGAAGGGCGATTAGCCATCACAGTAATTATCTTTCATCTACACCTGCTCTTTTTATAGGGCGTGGAAACAGCTTTGAGCCAAGTTAAACAATGGCTGAAGTACTTTTGCACAGATGGTAACCTTTCTTTTTCTGTTTCCTAAGCAGATTAGTGCCCCTTGTCTGGTATGGGATCCAGGCCGCACATTCCCCACTCAGGTCTTCACACATGGTATTATAACCACTTGATTATGTCTCTACGTGCTCCCCAAGACTGGAGCCCCTCAAGGACCAGTAGGGTCCCATTCATCACTTTGTCTCTGTTGCATAGCATAGTGCCTGACACAGAGAGGCTGTTCAATACATCTGTTGAGAACATGAAAGCCTACCAAGATATTGTTGGTAACACTGAGCTTTATTTTTAGAATATGCTGATTATTAGGGGCATAGTAGGTTATGAGCATGGATGTCCCATGTACTGTACTGGTTAATACAGTCAAGTGCCCAGATTTCCAACTACCAGCCTTTTGAGGAGAAGCATGCAATTACTTTGTACTGTACAGTACATATAAAGTGAATAGTGGGAATTATTGTAACTATTTTTAAAAAATTTTTATTGATTTTGTTAAGAGAGAGAGAAACATCAATGTGAGAAAGAAACATTAATCGGCTGCCTTCTGCATGCCCCCTACTGGGGATCAAGCCCACAACCTGGGTATGTGCCCTGACCAGGAATCAATCCAGGACCAGAACCGGGACCTCTCAGTCCATGGGATGATGCTCAATCCACTAAGCCACACCAGCTGGGCTATAACTATTTTTTAAAAGGAGAAAGAAATTGTAGGAACCTTGGTGTTTCCTCTCATTAACCTTAATTTTACTAACCCTATTATGCTGCTATAAAGGGGAAGTTTCATAATAAATTTGTAACTGTAATACTTTGTAGTCTAATTCATTTTCAAGAGTAATTCATTTTTCAAGAGTGACATAATGCAATTAAGGCATTTAACTGAGGTCATAAAAAGTGGAATATTGAATCTCTAAAGGTTTTAATTAGTTTAACTTAAGTAAAACATTTTAGCTCTTCTATAATACCTCAAGGTATGTCATAAGATATAAAGCCTACTGAACAGTTCAGAAGAACTAAGTTCTATCAAATCATTCTTTTAAAAAATTATTATGCCTCTAGTTATTTCTTCTCCAGTACTAAAGTATTTTAGTACCCAAGTACTTCAATGATTTTTTCATCCTATTCAATTGCCCTGACATAGGTGGTATGGGAAATGCAAGGAAGTCAAGGAGAAAGCAAGTAAGAGGTTGGTAAATGGTTCACTACAGTTAATAATGAAAGTGTGCCACTAGTTGGTGATCCTAGACTGAGATCCCAAAAAGTAAGGATTTTTTTTTTTTTTTTTTGCTTTCTCTCTCTCCCCCTCCCCCCCTCACGCTCTCCTCCTCCCCCTCCCCCTCTCTCCCTCTGTCCCTTTTTCTCTCCCTCTCCCCCTCTCCCTCTCCCTCTCCTTCCCTCTGTCTTTTAAAGCATGTGTGGAAGCTATGTCTTTGGGGATGTGATATACACAAAAAGTTCCCTAAGGAAACCGAGTCTGGCAGGGGTATTAGATTTACAGCCCATGTGTGCGGCAGAGAGGACCTGGGACCTTCACTGGGCCAGGAAGAGCCACATGGATTCTGTTTTGATTAAGAATCTAGGAGTCTTCTGAGAAGGGAGGCCCCTAAGGAAAGAGATTTAGGCCTACTGTGCAGTCAGGATTGGAAAAATGAATCATCCTGTCAGCCTGATTATTTTCCCATTTCCACAGTCACATGCCTGAGTCTTGGGAAGAAAGGGATGAGAGAGAGAGACCCTGTGGGATGCTGGAAAACAGCTCTCTAAGGGGGGAGGGGAAATGTTTTGATTTGTAGCATTTGCTGATTTCCGTGGTGTAAAAACTCCCCTCATGGCTGATTTCAGGCCCTTGACTGGCAAGCTGGCTCTAGCCACAGCACCGAAAATCACTGAGACTTGAAGCCTAGAAATTAGAAGTTGTTTTCTTAACAAATATTTCTCAACCAGCACTGCACTCAGGTGTGTTCATCAGGGTAATCACAGGAAGGGAAAGGAGTTTCAAGAGCACTTTCTCTCCCAAGGTAAGAAATGGAGCAGCTGCAAGCTGACCCTATCACACCCTAGAGGCGCTGTGGCCATTGCCAGCCCTGGCCTCTGAGAGCCAGATTTTTTTTTTTTTAATTTTATTTATTTTATTTTTTTATTCTTTTTTTTAATTAATTTATTTTTGTTACAGATGTTTCTCCTTTTTCCCCCACTGATTTCCCCCTCCTCCCTCCCCACCCTGTCCCCACCTTTTTTGTCCATGTCCATTGTTCATGCATACATGCATATAAGTTCTGTGGTTTATCTCTCCCCCCCACCCCCTCTTCAGGGGATTGTCAGTCTGTACCCTACTTCCACATCTCTGGGACTATCCCGTTCCTCAGACTGTTATGTTCATTATTTTCCACAAATAAGTGAGATCATGTGATATTTGTCTTTCTGGGCTTGGCTTGTTTCGCTTAGGATAATAGTTTCCAGGTCCCTCCATGTCATCTCAAAGGATAAGAGAGTTTCTTTCTTACAGCTGCATAGTACTCCATTGTGTATATGTACCACAGCTTATTCACATTCTTCTCAAGTGCACATGGGACATTCTCAAAGATAGACCATATGTTAGGACACAAACTAAGTGAGA